TGATGAGGGCAACAGGTGTACATATGTGCTTGACTCAATGGATGTATGTATGGACTGTGATAAGAATTGTACGAGCCCTCAATAAAATAATTTTTTTTTAATTATTAAAAAAAAAACTGGGAAAAGCTTCCTAGAAAACATAAGCAAGGCTAATGATACTAAAATAACAATCAATTCACATAGTACTACACCAAAGAAAATGGAAAACAGTCTTCCATGTATTTTGATAATTAAGTACTATTTAACAACAAAATCCAGCAACCATTATAATAATTCTCAGTAAACTAGTAATAGGACACTCTTTAACCAGATAAAAATAATCTACAAAAAAATAACTGAAATCCTACTTAATGTAAGACTGAATGCTTGCCCCTTCTGATTACCAACAAGGCAAAGATGCTCACTCTCATTTCTCCTATTCCAACTTGGACCAGAGGCTCCAGACAATGCAATAAGGAGGAAAATGAAATAAAAGCTATCTCCTTTAGAAAGAAAGACATGAAACTGTCGTTATTCACAGATATAATCATATATACAGAAATTCCATTAAAAGTAACCCAAGAAAGGTACCAGAACAAGCAAGTTACAAGGTTGCAGAATACAAGATCAAGTGACAAAAAGAAAAGGTCATCCTATACTCATAAACTAAATATTTTAATTTAAAAAAATCCCATTTACTATAGCATTAATAATTATGGGATAAATCTGACAAACGATGTGTAAAACAATACATTAAATACTACAAAACATCACTCCAAAAAAATTAAAGACTTAAGTAACTAGATATACCTACAACAACTTTATGGATGAGAATAGGCATTATTAAGATATCAATTCCCTCCAAGTTCATCTAGAGATTCAACACAAATTCCTCCAACGTTTTTGTAAAAATGGACAATACCAAATTGCTTAATGGAAACACAAGCAGGCTAGAATAGGCAAACTTATTTGAAAAAGAACAAATTCAAGACTGATTGAGACAATAAGCAATATATGCTGGTATTGGTGACAAGGAAAACATCAGAATAGGGATTTCAGGAATCATATAGCCATATGCACAAGGCAAGAATTCAATGGAGAAAGGGCAGACTTTTCAACAAACAGTGCTGAAACAATTGGGTACACATACGTAAACAAGGTCCTTTAATCCATACATCATATCATACTAAAAAAATGGAGACTGTTATCCTTAAGAAAGTCTTGCAAAAGGCTGGCTCTTACCTTGCTTCTAGGAACTTAGCCCTTACAGCATTCCCGGTTAACAGAGAAGAGGAGGTTCCCGGTCTCTGGACTGCTTGTGCTACACAACAACTTATGTGAACCCTAGCTTTCCTCCTGGGAGTTGGAACATTTGCTACATGATAAGCAGAGAGTGTCTGTAGGACATGTCCCAAAGAGGAACCTTGGACTCTGAATCTCTAGTGGACGTCCCTGGGCAGAAGTAGATGTGTTATTGTTGCTGGGTAAAGATAAACCCACTCATGCACAGAGCATAAAAAACTCCGCATGTGGATCCTTCTAAATCCTGCCTGTTTCTTTCTCTCTTATGATTCAACTGTAGTGGATGTGGTATTTCCTTACCATATTTCTGTAATAACTTGAGTCATGGACAATTTAATTAAAAAAACAAAACTATTGAATATGCTTATCTAAATCTAGAGTAAAATACTTGCAGTTATACATAAATTTTCTATTTATGATAAAGTCTTATTGAAGACAGCATATGTATGTGTGTATATATATACATTTATTAACAATTTTAGGTAAAATTAATATTTTTTGAAAACTCAAAAATTGCTAACATTTTAGGGAAAAAATGCATAATCTAAGAAGGGTCTGAGCATTTTCAAACTAAAACTTACTATTAACCACCCTGTATTTTTTGAGTTTTCACTTTCATTTTACTTCTCATATTCACATTCCCCTGGGCTATGCTACCAAATGAAAGAAGACTGCAAAACAGTCAAACCACCACCCAACACCTATCAGAAAAAATAACAGGCCTATACTCCAATGTTCACTGGCTGAACAGATATTATATTTTATGATCTTAATAGTGTTTTGTTACCATCCAAGCAACATGAGCAAACCAAAAGCCCACTGCTATGGAATCACTGACTCAGAGGGACCCCCTGTGAATTTTCAAGACTCTAATTGTTTATGTGTGGTAGAAAGCCTGATCTTCCTCATTCATGGAGCTGCGGGTGGTTCTGAACTGCTAACCATGCAGATCACAGCCCAACATGTAACCACTACACCACCAGGGCTCTTTCAAAGCATGCTCTATCTACTACATACACTGTCCTTAGGCCTGAAGTGCCTCTCTTAGAATTCACCCTGAGAAACTAATTCAAGATACAATGATGTCTATAATAGCACCGTCCAAAGAAACAAAACACTGGAAACAACCAAGCCTATACCTAATGTGGCACCTTATCTTAATGTACTATTAAAAGCCACTCTAGAAATTAAGCAAAATAGAGAAAAAGTTCTGACGTGAAGTGAAAAATACATTCAGAATATAGTTACAGATGATTTTATAACTATGAATACATGAGTAAGGTCTGAAAAGAAATAAAGAAAAGCTAAAACATCTGATATGTTAAGATGGAATAATGGGCTTGTACAATAAATATGTGGTAAAGTGGGAATAAATTTATTTTCAATTTTGAGAACATTAAATACCATCCTGTAACTGTTTTTACTCATTCCTTCTATTTCTTCTAGCAATAGAACCAAACATAAATCATGTAATGAACTTTCATCTAGGTGATAATCCACTATGCTCCAGGGTGCCCATGAAACAGGTATACAAAACTTTTAAGTCCTTTATCATAGATAGAAAACACTGAAGTTCTTTTATAGCTAGATTTAAGAGGTATGGAAGAAGAGCTATGGATTAAGAGATATTTACGAGGGTCTAAAGATGGTGCAAACTATTAGGTCTTGGCCACTAACTATGAGGTTGATGGTTAAACACCACCCAGCAGCACTGAAGATGCAATCTCCTTCTGTAAAAGGTTAGAGCCAAACAAGGAGAAAGGAGACAAACCCTACGTTTGTCATCAACTGAGCATAAATCCAGCCCTCACCTTCCCACTTTTCTACCTCGTTGCCAGCCAAGTGGCACTCTCTTCAGCCTCAAGCCACCGGAGCTGGGTCTAAGCTCACGAATTAGAGGGATTTCTTTCAGACTGACTCTCACTGCCCCTCTGAGCTTACTAAAGTGCTGGAATGATTCACACATTAACAGAGCACACACCATACTTCGGGCTACAAGTTTATTACAAGCAAAAAGCAAACAGATGAAGAGACACTTTTAGGGTGAGGTCTGGAAAGAGATCTCAATGTGGAGCTTCCATGTCCCAGAGAACGGCTTGCTTGTTACCCTCTCCTGTGCCTGGCGGCCACCAGGAAACCCATCTGAGCATTAGGCTTCCGGGCTCTCATAGTAATTGGCCTCTCAGAAACCCATGGGGGAAGTCCCTAGCCTGTCCTATAAAGTCATCATGAGTCTGAATCAATTCAATAGCAGTGAGTTTTAATTTGGTGGGTTTTTTATTTTGTTTTGTTTCTTGATGTTGTGTGAAAGAGAATAAAGAGTGAATTAAGACCAAATCAGAAAAAAAAAGGAGTAACAAAAATTAAGGTGAAAATCAACGCAATGAAAGAGGGTGAAATCATATCAGTGAGTGCCCGCTTTACTGACACAACCACTGAAGACAAACATGTGCACAAGCAAATGTGATGAAGAGAGCTAAATGGTGCCTGGCTACCAAAAGATACAGCGTCTGGTGTCTTAAAGGTTTGAAGATAAACAAGGGGTCATCCAGCTGAGAAGCATCAAAGCCCACATGGAAGAAGCACACCAGCTTGACTGACCACGAGGTGCAGAAGGGACCAGTTATCAGACACCAAAGAACTAAAAATCAGATCAGTGGGAGCCCACCTTCCTGATACGATCACTGAAGACAAAGGTGTGCATAAGCAAATGTGGTGAAGAAAGCTGATGGTGCCTGGCTATCAAAAGATACAGCGTCTGGGGTCTTAAAGGCTTGAAGATAAACAAGCGGCCAACTAGCTCAGAAGCAACAAAGCCCACATGGAAGATGCACAACAGCATGTGTGACCACAAGCTGTCGAAGGGATCAGGTATCAAGCATCCAAGAACAAAATATCATATCATTGTGAAGGTGGGTGAGTGCAGAGTGGAGACTCAAAGCCCATCGGTTGGCAACTGAACAGCCCCTTACTGAGGGGTTGGGGGGAGGAGACAAGCCAATCAGGGTGCAGGGTAGCAACGATGAAACATACAACTTTCCTCTAGTTCTTTAATGCTTTCTCCCCCCCACTATCATGATCCCAATTCTACCTTACAAATCTGGCTGGACCGGAGGATGTACATTGGTACAGATAGCAACTGGAAACACAGGGAATCCAGTAAAGATGACTCCTTCAGGACCAGTGGTGAGAGGGGCGATGCCTGGAGGGTGAAGGGAATGTGGGGTAGAAAGAGGGAACCAATTACAAGAATCTAAGTCTTGCCTCCTCCCTGGGGGGTGGACAGCAGAGAAGAGGGCGGAGGGAAACATCGGACAGGGTAACTTATGACAAAACTATAATAATTATGAACTATGAAGGGTCCATGAGGGAGGGGGGGATGGGGGGGAAATTAGCAACTGATATTAGGGGCTAGAGTGGGAGGCAAATGTTTTGAGAATGATGAGGGCAACAAATGTGCATATGTGCCTGATACAATGGATATATGTATGGATTGTGATGAGAATTGTATGAGCCCCCAATAAAATAATTTTTTTAAAAAAAAGAAAGAGGAAGAAATCAAGGGAATCAAAAGTTAGTTCTTAAAAATATCAATAAATTGACAAACTTGTACTCAGACTAATCAAGAAAAAAGGAGAATTTATAAAATCCTAAAATAAGGAATGAAAGATGAGCTAAAAGATTGTAAAACTCAAGTTTAAAAAATTAGGCCAGTTTAAAATTTATAAATTCCCAAATATATACCAAGTGCCAAAATTACCTCAAGAAGAAACAAAACCTAAATAGACATAATAAAATGACTCTTCCCACAAAGAAAAGCTCAGGCCCTAAGGACCTCACTGGTAAGTTCTTCCAAATATTAATAAAGGAAACAATATTAATAATCGTTCACACACTTTCAGAAAGCAGAGGAAATAAAAGAACTTTCCAACTAATCTATGAAACCAAAATTAATCTAACGCCAATGCCAAAGGCATCAAAAATTTAAAAAACAAACAAAACCAAAAGAATTACAGACTAAAATCCATCATGAAAAGCAACAATTCCAAACAAAATACCTGTATTAGCAAAATGAACACTGCAAAACATAAGATTACACACCACCACTATGTAGGAATTATTCCAAGAATGCAGGTGTTTAACATCTGAAAAACTAATGTAATATATACCACATTCATAGAGTAAAAAAGAAGAACCACATCCACTCAATCCACTCCACTCCACTGATGGAGGATTGAACAATTCAGAAAACAAGAGTGAAAATGGTTGCATTAACTTGAAGAATGTAATCAATGACACTGAGGGGTATAAATTGCTTACCTGGCATTATGTTCTGCTGTGTATATTTTCAACAACAAAAATAACATAACTTTTAAAAATTCAAATATATCATAGATCTAAATATAAGCGCTAAAACTATAAATGTTCTAGAAGAAAACATGGAGTAAAGGTCCTCTTATATTCTCAAATTCACTTCACTTCAACACAGTGCAATCAATAGGAACATTGAACTTGGCAATGGATTTCCTGTGACTCGATTTTCTGAAAAATAAAAGGAAACAATACTAACAGTCAATTGTACTAACCGGAATTTTGTTTGGAGCCTGATGATCCTCCATGTTCTAGCTTTGCTTTCTTTTTCTTTGACAATGATGATGACGACTCAGAAGCTACTGAACGTTTCTCTACTACAGGATTAGAAAGAGCTCGTTTTTTGAATAGCTCGCGTTCTCTCAGTAGGGTTGGATCCATAATGCTGCAGAGACAAAAATAAATATTTTTAATAGGGAATGTTACTCCAAACCTTATGTTGGGTACACTGACCTCAGTTCGCGTTAATTGCCTAAAACATTATCTTCTATTATTAGTTTTCTAGAATGTATATCTGTTCAATAATTTGCTCACTAAATATTTAATTAGTGCCTATTATATGTCAAGCAAGGATTAATGTTGGCAAAATGGTAAATGTTCAGCTGCCAACCATATTGGTAGCTTGAACCCACAGAGGCACTGATGATTTACTCTTCAACGATTTTGGCAGAGTTGCTGTGAGTCAGATGCAGCACTTGGTGGCACACATGTGTCAAGCACTATGCTGAAGCACTAAGAAAAGCGCTAAGTTGGTACTCTAAAGCTTTAGAACTGCAGTGGCCAATACAAAAACCACTACATGCCAAGGGAGCACCTGAAAATGAGACCAGTATAAATTAAGTTGTGTTCACAATAAATATTTTTTTAATAAAATTATTAAGACTTAATGAAGACTGAGCATAATAGTTGGACAGGAGGAAAGTCAGAGAAAAGAGCTAGGAGGCAAAGAGCATTTATAAATAAATATATATATATATATATATATGCAAATATATTTCTATATGAGGAGGGAAATAGATCTAAGTGCATATATTTATAAGTTTAGTATTAAGGGAGCAGAAGGACATTGTGTCACCACTCAAGTACTCCCTCAATGCAAGAATACTTTCTTCTATTAAATTGGCATTCTATGAAAAAAATAAATAAAAAAAATTTTTTAAAAAATTGGCATTCTATGATGCTAACCTTCCTGATACAACCGCTGAAGACAAAGTGGTTGCATAAGCAAATGTGGTGAAGAAAGCTGATGGTGCCCCGCTATCAAAGATATAGCATCTGGGGTCTTAAAGGCTTGAAGGTAAGCAAGCGGCCATCTAGCTCAGAAGCAACAAAGCCCACATGGAAGAAGCACACCAGCCTGTGTGATCACAAGGTGTCAAAGGGATCAAGTATCAGGCATCGAAGAACAAAAAGTCATATTGTAAATGAGGGTGAATGAAGAGTTGAGACCCAAAGCCCATTTGTAGGTCACTGGAGATCCCCTTGCAGAGGGGTCTGGGGAGGAGACCAGCCAGTCAGGGTGCGATATAGCAACGATGAAACATACAACTTTCCTCTAGTTCCTAAATGCTTCCTCCTCCCCCACTATCATGATCCCAATTCTACCTTACAAAGCTGGCTAGACCAGAGGATGTACACTGGTACAGATAGGAACTGGAAACACAAGGAATCCAGGGCGGATGATCCCTTCAGGACCAGTGGTGTGAGTGGCGATACTGCAAGGGTGGAGGTAGGGTGGGTTGGAAACAGAGAACAGACTACAAAGATCCACATGTGACCCCCTCCCTGGGGGACAGACAACAGAAAAGTGGGTGAAGGGAGACGTTGGACAGGGCAAGATACGGTAAAATAATAATTTCTAAATTATCAAGGATTCATGAGGGAGGGGGAAGTGGAGAGGGAGGAGAAAAAATGAGCTGATGCCAGGGGCTTAGGTGGAGAGCAAATGTTTTGAGAATGTTGAGGGCAATCAATGTACAAATGTGCTTTACACAATGGATGGATGGATGGATGGATTGTGATAAGAGTTGTATGAGTCCCTAATAAAATGGTTTAAAAATTATTAACAATACGAAGAATTATCAAGTTACAGGGGTATTTTATACTGATATGTTAAAATGATAGCATGAAGAGACATCAAGAAGTTCATGGAAACATGGAATTAAAAGATAATGAAAAATTTCCATTAATTTGTAGCCTCCTCATATTTTGAATATTGGGTTAAACAAAGTATTATAATTGATTTCCCATTTCTATTAACTTCTTTAATATGGCTACAAGAAAAAGATAAATCACACATGTGGCTCAGATTCATAGCTCACACTATATGAGGGTAAGCCAAAAAGCTTTGCCACAAAAAAATCATTAAAAATTTTGAAAAAAAGAAAAAAGCTTTTGTTTAAAAAATATTAAAATATGAAGCTACTGTTTCTTGATAGACTCCTTCCAGATCTATACATTTCTGAAGGCATATTTCCATCTCTCTCACCCTTTCCCCCAAAGTTTTGCACTGTGTCATTTCCACTATGCAAAATTCAGTTTTGGTGGCCTCCAGGAACTCAAAAGATGTTCTTTTGAGTTTTGAGAACAAAACAAAAAAATCTGAAGGGGCAAGATCAGGGACGTAGGCTGGCTGTAAAGTTTCCCAGTGAAATCATCATAGGACAGCCCTCAAAGAACACACAAGTAGACTGTTATTGAACTATCGTACTTGCAACCCTGGTATGAATTCCACTTGGCCACTATGAATTACCATATATACTCAAGTATATAAACTGACCCAAATATCAGCCAAGGCACCTAATTTTACAGAAACTACATTTAAAATGTGCTGGAAAACTTGGCTTATACGCAAGTATATACAGTAATTTTTTGATATGTTGTTGGATTCTGTAAGCCAGAATTCTGTTGAGAATTTTTACAATTATGTACATGAAGGAAATTGGTCTGTAGTTTTCTGTCTTTAACTGGTTTTGCTATCAAGGTATGATAACTTCATAGAATGAATTTGGAGTTTGCTGTCCCTTTCTATATTCTGGAATAATCTGTACAGAAATGGTGACAGTACCTCCATGAATACTTGGAAGAATTAACATGTGAAGCCATCTAGTCCTGGGTTTTTCTTGATTGGAAGTTGTTTTTTTTGAGCACTATTTAAATTCTTTATTTTTCTCGTTTAAAGTTTTGTTTTTCCACCTCACTATAGAAATAAACATAAGGGGAGAATTAAATGATGTGATCTTTTTTTTGATCCTCTTTTTTTATTAAATCATTTTATTGGGGCCTAGTACAACTCATCATAATCCACACTTACATCCATTGTGTCAAGCACTCCTGGACATTTGTTTCCCTCATCGTTCTCAAAACCTTTGCTTTCTACTTGAGCCCCTGATATACGCTCCTTAGTTTTTCTCCTCGCTCCCCGCTCCACCCTTGATAATTTATAAATTATTATTTTGTCATATCTTACACCATCCGATGCCCCCCTTCACCCACTTTTCCACTGTCCTTCCCCAGGAAGGAGGTTATATGTAGATCCTTGTAATCAGTTCCCCCTCTCCTCCCTCACCTTCCCAGTATCGCCACTCTCACCACAGGTCCTGAAGGGGTCATCTGTCCTGATTTGCTGTGTTTCCAGTTCCTATCTGTACCAGTGTACATCCTCTGGTCTAGCCAGATTTGTAGGGTAGAATTGGGATCATGACAGTGAGGGGAGGAAGCAATTAAGAACTAGAGGAAAGTTGTATGTTTCATCATTGCTACACTGCACACCGTCTCCTCCCCGTGACCCTCTGTAAGCAGATGTCCAGTTGCCTACAGATGGGCTTTGGGTCTCCAGATAGGAAGTTTCCTAATGACCTTCTCTATTTCTTCTTTTGTTATGGGTCTGTTCAAGTTTTCTTTGTGTTAAATTCAATAGATGGTGCCCAGCTATCAAAAGGTATAGTGTCTCGGGTCTTAAAGGCTTGAAGGTAAACAGCGGCCATCTAGCTCAGAAGCAACAAAGGCCACATGGAAAAAGCACATCAGCGTGTGCGATCAGGAGGTGTCGAAGGGATCAGGTACCAGGCATCATCAGAACAAAAAATCTTACCATGTGAATGAGGTGGGGAGGACAGAGTGGAGACCCAAAGCCCATTTGTAGGCCACTGGAGATCCCCTTGCAGAGGGGTCTCAGGGAAGAGAAGAGCCAGTCAGGGTACAATGTAGCAACGATGAAAAATACAACTTTCCTCTAGTTGCTAAATTCTTCCTTCTCCTCCCCATCCCCCCACCCCCCACTATCATGATCCGAATTCTACCTTGCAAGTCTGGCTAGATCAGAGGATGTACACTGGTACAGATAGGAACTAGAAACACAGGGAATCCAGGGCGGATGATCCCTTCAGGACCAGTGATGTGAGTGACGATACTAGGAGGGTAGAGGAAGAGTGTGTTGGAAAGGGGGAACCGATTACAACAATCTACATGTGACCTCCTCCCTGGGGGACGGACAACAGAAAAGTGGGTAAAGGGAGACATCGGACAGGGCAAGATATGACAAAATAATAATTTATAAATTATCAAGGGCTCATGAGGGAAGGGGAAACGGGGAGGAAGGGGGAAAAATGAGGACCTGATGCCAGGGGCTTAAGTGGAGAGCATATGTTTTGAGACTGATGAGGGCAATGAATGCACAACACAACTGATGTATGCATGGATTGTGACAAGAGTTGTATGAGCCCCTAATAAAATGATTAAAAACAAACTGCTAGCCACACAGAGCCCTGAGAGGCCAGTGAGATAAGAGGTTTGGCTGGCTGGGTTGCCTCTTAATCACTGTCATCCAACAGATGCCAACTCAGAGGACTGGGAATAAGTGGTGTACTGGGGAGGATCACAAAGTGGCTCATGGAGCTGGTCAATGGTAAAGGGGAGTTTACCTGTAAGATGCTGCTATCCAACTTTAAAAAACTTGGGTCTACTGAACTTTTAAGCTGACTTTCTCACTACCAGGAAGGGCAGGATATCCCTTTGTGGTAGTCAGAGTTTATCTCTATCAGCTGTAATTAGGGCAATTCTGTGTGTGTTCAGAGTAGAACTGTGCTCCACAAGGCTTTCAACAGCTGGTTTTTATACAGCAGATCCACTTGGTTATGAGCCTGGTGTCCAACCATTTTCTGCCAGCCAGGAAGAATTTCATCACATACTTTTAAAGCCTGAGAAGTGAAGGATAGCTCAGAAATATTTGTCAAATGAACAATGATGGGAAAGCATCTTTAAATTGTTCTAGTCTTGTCATTACTGGCTTTATAGGCCTTTATTAAATGTCTGCTGTTTGAGAGGCACTGTACTTCAAGCTTTAAAAGGTTCTGGAAGATAGAGCCTTGTCTTTAAGCAATTTAC